TTTAAAGAACCATTGAAGGGAGATTCAGAAGAAGCAAAGAGACAACACAAGGAGAATAAAAGGTTAGACTGCAAGGCTCGAATGTTTTTGCACCAGTGTGTGTCAGCTGCCATTTTCCAGAAAGTCTCGAAAGCTATTACGACAAAGGAGGTTTGGGATATCCTGCAAGAAGGCTATGACAATTCTGGAAAAGTCAAGAAGATCAGATTGTAATCTCTTCGGAGACAGTATGAACTCCTAGGCGTGGGAGAGCAAGAATCAGTCATTGAGTACATCGGAAGGATCCAAGTAGTGGTGAACGCCATGAGAGCCTGTGACAAGGTCGTGAAAGATAAGAAAATTATGGAGAAAATACTCAGAACGTTAACCCCACAATATGACCATATAGTCGTGGCCATAGAAGAATGTAAAGATCTTAAGAATATGAGAGTCGAAGAACTACATAACTCTCTAGAGGCACATGAACAGAGACTGATCGAAAGAAGAAATGCTGAAAAATAGGTGAGTCAGGGTTCGAATCAAGCCTTACAGACCAGAAGTAATTACAAACCCAGAGGACAAGGAGCTGGAAGAGGTAGAGGCCGATCACGGGGAGGTCAAACCGGAGGCAAAAATGCAAATGTCTATGATCAAAGTGTTGAAGAAGATGGTAGCGAGCATAGAGATGGAAGCAAGAGAGGTGGAAAACAAACGAGAGGAAGAAGAAGAAAGAACATTGATAAGAGAAACATCCAGTGTTATACCCGTAGTAAATTCAGGCATTATTCTTCTGAATGTTGGCACAATGGAGCTGCTAATAAGAGCAAAGATGATGAGGCTAATCTTGCGCAAGACACATACGAATTTGATTCTGATCACGTCCTTCTAATGAGTATAGTTGACCATGACAAAGAAGAGCTGCGATGGAGTCTAAGTAAGAACGAATGCGAGGACGAAGTGCATGATTTAAATAGGTGTAAGAACGATTTTCTTACACAAGACAAATGTCAAAAGGTGGAACATGTATTGATGTCTAACAATGCGAGCCATGCAATAAAAGATAATTGCTGGTATTTAGATAAAGGTTGTTCCAACCATATGACGGGCAAGAAAGAATGGTTGATAGACCTGGATCTGAATATCAGAAGCAGTGTGATGTTTGCTGACAATAGTGTGATCATGGCTGAAGGGGCTGACAAGATTCTAGTAAGACACAAGGAGCATATCTACTGAATAGAAGTCCAACGAGAGCTTTGGAGAACTGCACATCAGAAGAAGCCTGGTCAGGTATTAAACCATTTGTAAATCATCTCAAAATCTTTGGCTCAGTGTGTTACAAACACATTTCAAATGCAAGAATGAAGAAGTTGAATGATAAAAGCGAAACTTTTATCTTCATCGGTTATCACCCCACAGGTGCTTATAAGCTATACAGCCTTGAGAAGAAACAAGTTGTGATCAATAGAGATGTGATTGTGGACAAAGGTGCCACGTTCGAATGGAGGAAGCCTGAGACATATAAGAAACTTGAAACTGAGGCAAGTAAGAATCTGCAATAGCTCCTAGCTGGCTGGAAGATAGCATTCCTGGTGTTGAACAGGCTGAGATACGTGATGAGGTCAACAACAGAAGATCACAAAGGATGTGATTTCCTTCCTCAAGGCTAGTTGATTATGGAGTATTTGCTGACAGTGACGTTGTAAATTTTGGTGAACAAGCACACCTCACTTTCCTAGCCGATGCAGCAGCTATTACCTGGAAACAAGCATTTGATGTAAAGGAGTGGAGAAAAGCTATGATTGAAGAGCTAAAGGTCATTGAAAAGAACAAAACTTGGGAAATGGTAGAGCTACCTCAGCACAAACATGCAATTGAGGTAAAGTGAGTTTTCAAGACCAAGTTTAAGCCAAATGGTGAAATAGAAAAGTTCAAAGCGAGACTTGTAGCGAAGGGATTTTTGCAGGAACCAGGAGTGGATTTCACAGACGTTTTTTCACCAATCGCAAGGCTTGAGACTGTGAGGTTGGTCGTAGTAGTAGCTTGTCTTAAGAACTTGGAAATCTGTCAATTGGATGTAAAATCAACTTTCTTAAACGGTCCACTAAAAGAGGAGGTTTATGTAAGATAGCCACTTGGATTTGAGAAGAGGGGTGAAGAACACAAGGTCTATAGTCTGAACAAAGCCTTGTATGGGCTGAGGCAAGCACCACGAGGTTGGAATAATCATATCAACACATTGCTTCTTAAACTGGGTTTCCTGAAATGTTTGACTTCTATTCAGTAGACATTTGATCATTATCTCTAATTTCTAAACAAGAAGAATCCTCAATGAATCTTTGTATCTATTGTTGTTGTAAACTAAAACCACTTTAATTGTCTTTAACAGTTAGTTCACGTACTGATACACTATTACATATACCTTGTATTCATTCATTCTTTGTTAATGAGAATTATCTTTCTCTGTTGTTATCCATTACTCTCTGTATTAACATTCCTTTCTTTGCATAACTTCCATATNTAGATCTAATCTCAAAGGTGTTCTTGGAACAGATTTGACTGCATAGTTTTCAGATCTACTAAATGTTTAATGATTGGCTGTTATGTTCAAAATGCCAGTTTCTTATAGTTTTGTTGTTATCTGCTACAATATTTACATGTTGTAGCTTTTTAGTAGGTACTACCCATGTTCCACTCAATGTTAAACATGCATGAAGTTGTGTGGGTCTCATGTGTACAATTTATCAATCTTCAAAGAATGTCTTTATATATGAAAAAGATGAATGGGGTATCCTAGAGATGTGATTGATTTTTATTGCATGAGTTTCTCTATATGTGTATGCTAACAAAAAGAAAGAATAAAAGAAGAAAAAGACGAATTGTGGTTTTTACATATTTACAATATAGAATGTGCATTAGTGTTGTGGCAGCATGTAAACTTAAATATTTGACTAAAATTATTAAGTATGGTACACTCATAAGATTTTTTTACTACTTCTCATGTACATTTTACCTTTATCTCTTCACAAAAGTAAAAATCATATAATATAATTTTTTTTATATATAATTTTAAGTTAATGTCACAACTATATCTCCTAGTAAACAATAATTTTGTCTCCCATCTCATGTAATAACATAAATTTAACATTTCATCATATTACTTTCACTTTTTTTCTCATATCTATTTAAAGCATGGCATTTATTATCATAAAGTATATATTGGATGCATAAAATATTGTGATCAGAAATAATTTCAATACCTTTTCTTCTATGATATCGTATGTGTGACATTCTTAATAATTTTTGTACTATTTATTAATTCCGATATTTAAACTTAAATGTACGTAACATATTCTCTTGTTAATTTCCAAATCATATTTTTCTCATGCTAACATATAAATGTCTATACTCTATCTTACTCCTATTTGAAGAGAAAAATCTTTCCAAAGTTTTTCTATAAAGTTCAAGTCAATAATTAACTACTTTCCAAAATTTCTCAAATAAAACGAAAACATCTGCAACAAATATGTAATAAGGGATAGAAGTTTATATATCTATTCTAAGCACATCCACACCTAGATTTAGGATGACAAAAAAAAAATGATGATTTAGGGTGACAAAAAAAATATGATGACAAAAAATACGTGTCACAGATAAGATATTTATTAATTATAGATAATGAATATTTTAATGCTTATTTATAAATGAAACAAGATATTTATTAATTATAGATAATTGAATATTTTAATACTTACTTATAAATGAATCGGTACAGGTATTGTATTACTCATATATGTATATATTTGTTACTTATAAAAACTAAATATAAAAATTAAATTTATATTTATTAATTTAAATTTACTTGAAATTAAAATTAATTTATATTTTATTAAGTTAAATTTAATCAATATTATATTTTAATTTATATTTAATTTCATTTATATTATGTTTTATATTTTTTTATAATTTTATTTTAAAAATTTATAAAATATATTTTTTAAATATTTACGAGTATCAACTTTGTGGGTTTTAAAATATTCATTAGTATTTTTTAAATGAGTATATGTGCAAGTAACATATGGATAACGAACTAATTTTTTTGTTACAAATCATATAGCGAGTAGACATTATTTATGTTCGACCCAATTCGTTCTCATATCTACCTATTAAACAAATAAAAAATTAAGGAAAATTTTAAATGTAATTATCTATTTTCATAGGAAAAATTATTAATCTCACTTCTTATACAAGTAAATAGTTTATCATAATGTATTTTTGTGCTATGTGTAAAAGTCAAGCAAACACTTCTTTCTTTTGCAAATTCTATCCTTGACATTTGATCATTATCTCTAATTTCTAAACAAGAAGAATCCTCTATAAATCTTTGTATCTACTGTTGTTGTAAACTAAAACTACTTTAATTGTCTTTAACAGTTAGTTCATGTACTGATACACTATTACATATACCTTGTATTCATTCATTTTTTGTTAATGAGAATTATATTTCTCTATTGTTATCCATTACTCTCTGTATTAACATTCCTTTCTCTGCATAACTCCCATATACCCGCTGCACCTCTGTTTACACGCTGCGCTTCAATAGTGGTATCAAGAGCAAGGTTTCGAAACCTGGTGGTTAAGCTAAAGACGATCAAGAAGAGATGGTTGGTGTGATTCATAGAAATCTACCTGTGTTTGACAGCAAGAGGTTCGATGATTGGTGTGTAAAAGTGGATGCGATTTTTGGCTTTCAAGAAGTGGACAAGATAGTCAAGAAAGGCTTCAAAGAACAGTTGAAGGGAGATTCAGAAGAAGCAAAGAGACAACACAAGGAGAATAAAAGGTTAGACTGCAAGGCTCGAATGTTTTTGCACCAGTGTGTGTCAGCTGCCATTTTCCAGAAAGTCTCGAAAGCTATTACGACAAAGGAGGTTTGGGATATCCTGCAAGAAGGCTATGACAATTCTGGAAAAGTCAAGAAGATCAGATTGTAATCTCTTCGGAGACAGTATGAACTCCTAGGCATGGGAGAGAAAGAATCAGTCGTTGAGTACATCGGAAGGATCCAAGTAGTGGTGAACGCCATGAGAGCCTGTGACAAGGTCGTGAAAGATAAGAAAATTATGGAGAAAATACTCAGAACGTTAACCCCACAATATGATCATATAGTTGTAGCCATAGAAGAATGTAAAGATCTTAAGAATATGAGAGTCGAAGAACTACATAACTCTCTAGAGGCACATGAACAGAGACTGATCGAAAGAAGAAATGCTGAAAAATAGGTGAGTCAGGGTTCGAATCAAGCCTTACAGACCAGAAGTAATTACAAACCCAGAGGACAAGGAGCTGGAAGAGGTAGAGGCCGATCACGGGGAGGTCGAACCAGAGGCAGAAATGCGAATGTCTGTGATCAGAGTGTCGAAGAAGATTATAGCGAGCATAGAGATGGAAGCAAGAGAGGTGGAAAACAAACGAGAGGAAGAAGAAGAAAGAACATTGATAAGAGAAACATCCAGTGTTATACCCGTAGTAAATTCAGGCATTATTCTTCTGAATGTTGGCACAATGGAGCTGCTAATAAGAGCAAAGATGATGAGGCTAATCTTGCGCAAGACACATACGAATTTGATTCTGATCACGTCCTTCTAATGAGTATAGTTGACCATGACAAAGAAGAGCTGCGATGGAGTCTAAGTAAGAACGAATGCGAGGACGAAGTGCATGATTTAAATAGGTGTAAGAACGATTTTCTTACACAAGACAAATGTCAAAAGGTGGAACATGTATTGATGTCTAACAATGCGAGCCATGCAATAAAAGATAATTGCTGGTATTTAGATAAAGGTTGTTCCAACCATATGACGGGCAAGAAAGAATGGTTGATAGACCTGGATCTGAATATCAGAAGCAGTGTGATGTTTGCTGACAATAGTGTGATCATGGCTGAAGGGGCTGACAAGATTCTAGTAAGACACAAGGAGCATATCTACTGAATAGAAGTCCAACGAGAGCTTTGGAGAACTGCACATCAGAAGAAGCCTGGTCAGGTATTAAACCATTTGTAAATCATCTCAAAATCTTTGGCTCAGTGTGTTACAAACACATTTCAAATGCAAGAATGAAGAAGTTGAATGATAAAAGCGAAACTTTTATCTTCATCGGTTATCACCCCACAGGTGCTTATAAGCTATACAGCCTTGAGAAGAAACAAGTTGTGATCAGTAGAGATGTGATTGTGGACGAAGGAGCCACGTTCGAATGGAGAAAGGCTGAGACAAATAAGAAACTTGAAACTGAGGCAAGTAAGAATCTGCAATAGCTCCTAGCTGGCTGGAAGATAGCATTCCTGGTGTTGAACAGGCTGAGATACGTGATGAGGTCAACAACAGAAGATCACAAAGGATGTGATTTCCTTCCTCAAGGCTAGTTGATTATGGAGTATTTGCTGACAGTGACGTTGTAAATTTTGGTGAACAAGCACACCTCACTTTCCTAGCCGATGCAGCAGCTATTACCTGGAAACAAGCATTTGATGTAAAGGAGTGGAGAAAAGCTATGATTGAAGAGCTAAAGGTCATTGAAAAGAACAAAACTTGGGAAATGGTAGAGCTACCTCAGCACAAACATGCAATTGAGGTAAAGTGAGTTTTCAAGACCAAGTTTAAGCCAAATGGTGAAATAGAAAAGTTCAAAGCGAGACTTGTAGCGAAGGGATTTTTGCAGGAACCAGGAGTGGATTTCACAGACGTTTTTTCACCAATCGCAAGGCTTGAGACTGTGAGGTTGGTCGTAGTAGTAGCTTGTCTTAAGAACTTGGAAATCTGTCAATTGGATGTAAAATCAACTTTCTTAAACGGTCCACTAAAAGAGGAGGTTTATGTAAGATAGCCACTTGGATTTGAGAAGAGGGGTGAAGAACACAAGGTCTATAGTCTGAACAAAGCCTTGTATGGGCTGAGGCAAGCACCACGAGGTTGGAATAATCATATCAACACATTGCTTCTTAAACTGGGTTTCCTGAAATGTTTGACTTCTATTCAGTAGACATTTGATCATTATCTCTAATTTCTAAACAAGAAGAATCCTCAATGAATCTTTGTATCTATTGTTGTTGTAAACTAAAACCACTTTAATTGTCTTTAACAGTTAGTTCACGTACTGATACACTATTACATATACCTTGTATTCATTCATTCTTTGTTAATGAGAATTATCTTTCTCTGTTGTTATCCATTACTCTCTGTATTAACATTCCTTTCTTTGCATAACTTCCATATACCTGCCGCACCTCTGTTTACACGTTGCGCTTCAACATCTACAAGGACCGAGTCTCTTCGTAATATATAGACTAATTTTTCTTTATTTATCTTGTATAATGACTTGTTAGATTAATGATTTTATGATTTACATAAAATTTTTAATAACTTTTATTTATTTAATTAAATGAATAGAAACAATAAATTTTATAAATTTATCTTTTAAAATAAATAATGTTGATAATATTATGATTTATAATTTTTAAGTGCAAGTTTCTATTTTTCTTATTAATAACTAATTTTTCCTTTTTGGGGTGAAATATAATATTTTTTCTTCCATTATCAATACATAAGACTTTATTGAAACATATTGTTTTCCTTTCTCTAAATTTTAACTAACCTTTAGCCAATACATTTTCAATTATGCCTTTAAGTCTCTTTAAAATTCTTCAAGATCTTTATATTATATTTGACTTATACATATTACTAAAATTTCTTGTCTCATTTTTCCTAGTTTTTAGCATTCTCTCTCTCTCTCTCTTTTATTTACCTTCAACATTTCCATTCGATGACAAAACTCATTTACCAACATATTTTATCTTCTTAAACATTACGTTCCAAATGAAATTAGCATTGCCAACTTAATTACACAATTGAGAAAAAAAAAAAGATAATGTAGTTGTATGCTTTATAAGTCATATTTTACATGTTTAACAATATTAGTCTTTTTCTTTTTGAATGTATATTTTAAAATTCGTTTAAAATAATTTCTAATTAATTGATAGTGTAACCAAACAGATATTGACAATGCACGGAATTAAATTTTAAAATATGAATAAACAACTTAAACAAAAAGGAATTCTGATTATAGACAACTATTTCTACAGGTGAATTCTTGAGATTTTAGAAGTTATAATATATTTATTATATTCAATTGAGATCATAAAAATATACTTACAGTTTAATATGAATATTTTTATTGATAAAATCAAACAATAATATTTTGTGTTTTTATTTAATTTATTTATATATTTTTTAATACAATTTATTGTAAATTTGAAATACCAATTACAATGAGAGTGAGAAGGGGAGAGAGAGAAGAGGGAGTTATTTAATGAGAGAGTTATTATAATAAAAAATATAACTATAGATAAAATAAATCTTAGTTATTGAAATAAAAAATATTATAAGTAATATTGTGTAAAAGTTTTTTATTATGAATAATTTTTTAATTACTTATATTTGAAAAAGTAATTATTAAAATGATAAAAGTGTAAATAACTTTTTTATATTAATGATAAATTATTTGAATTACAAAAATAGTTACTAAAATGTTAAACTGAAAAATATTCTTTTTATTATAAATAATTATTTAAATTTTAAAAGTAATAACTAAAATTGAAAAAAATTAAAAAACAAACAAGAAAAGAGTGTATCATTTTATATATATATATATATATATATATATATATATATATATATATATATATATATATATTGTTCTTGAATTATAAAATCTTTTGAACTCTTTAATTTTTATATTTTGTTTCCATCTTAAATGTAAAATTTTTCATAGTTTTTTGGATTTTTGAATTTCAAATTCACATTTTTTATTATACTTTATCAGTTTTTTCATTTTCATATTTCTAATTTAAACTTTGTTATCATATATTTTAAAAGTTTAAACATTTTATAATTTTCGCTTTTTAATAATACGTTTATTTCTATGTTATTGAAACTAATTCTTTATAACTTTAAATAAGATATTTATTTTCAATATTTATTATTTAGTTTACTTTTAATTTATTAATGATATCATTATTTAATTATTTATGTATTGCTTTATATTATATTTTAAATTTTATTATTATTTTATGTTATTGTATTATTATATTACTATTTGTTCTAATATATTTTATATTGTTAAGAACAAACAAATATTGTGCATTCTTTGACTGGTAGAATTTATTTTCATCTTAAATGCGTCAGAAATATGATAAAACTGTTTAGAAATATTAAAGAAATCCATTAACAAGATTTCATTTTATATTTTTAATTTTTGATTTTGATTTGAATACAAACTCTGTTTACGGAAAATGATTGGTCAATTTTTATTGTCAAATTTTATTTGGTTGATAAAATACTAATTACATTCAAGTTTTTTGTTTCCAATAAAACACAAAACTAAATCAGAATTAAAATTTATTTTTTAATGAAAAAATAATTTCATAAAGTGTTAATATTTGTAGTTAATTAGTAATTAAAAAAACTAATTTATTTGCTGTAATAAATTATGAAATAAATCTATAAAATTAGTTGGTTTAATATTAATACTAAAACAAACCTCGTAAATGAAACTGGAAGAAACTTTTAACATTGCAATAAAAAATAAATAATAAACTTACAACTGAAATGTAATAGTATTAATTAATTTAATCATAAATACAAAATAAAAATAACAGAAAACATGTGACTACAAATAAAAAAAAATAGAAAATGCTTAAACAAAATGTCCCTCAAAGCCGAACAAAAATTATGAATTTCCACTAAAATTTAAAAACACCAAAACAAATGGAGAAAAATTTTAGAATATTATCAAAACAGATTTGGTCAATTTTATCGTGCAATTTTATTGGCCTAAAATAATGTAGATTCACAGTTTTCCGGTTTCCAATAAATCTAAAAAAAAAACTAACTCAAAATTCATAATTTATTATTATGAACAACAACAATTTTAGATCAGATCTAGCAAATGAAAATAATAAATTAGAAATCTTTTATGTGCAGTAAGAGTAAACTAGTAACAAAATAGTACAAACTAACAAACTTGGGACAGTCGGTATTACTTAATTAATTAAACAATTAATCATAAATACGTAATATATTCATATAGAAATAAAATAAACATCAACTATGTATAAAGTAAAAAAAACGCATAAGAAGAATGAATTTGGTTTGTACTTTGAGTTAATTTTGACAAACTACAATATTTTTATATACGAATATTTTTAAAATAATATTTAAAACTAATAACATCTTAAAATAGGAAAACTTAATTATTTTCAATATTAAAAACATTATAAATAAAAATTTTATAATAATTTTATTATTTAAAACAAATATCAAACTAAATTAATTATTTTAATATTAAAACATTATAAGTAAATTTTTATCAATGAATTTCATTACCTTAAAACATAATATCTTTCTAGAATAATAAAAACTCATTTAAACATAATATCTTTCTAGAATAATAAAAACACATTTTCCTTTTAAATATATATAAATATATATATATAAATGTTATGATAATTAAGCAAGCTAAATTTTCACTAAAGATAATCAAGATTATCTAGATATGAAAGTTCATTTCAAAGATTCTAAGAAAGAAGAACTTAATTAAATAATAATAAAAACAAGAACATAAATGATACATGCATACCAAATAGTAAACATTATATACGGATTCAAAGAGAAGAAAAGATGAAAGACTTTAAAGGAAAGAGAGAATCAAGTGAAGGAGTCACTTGAGAGGGTTACTATGTGATGACAACTCCTTTAAGGACTTCTCATCCAAAGAAGTATCAACTTAGACTGAGACTAAGAAAGGAAAGTGAATAAAGACTTTCAACAAAAGCTCTTTCCTTATCTAAGTCTCGGATAGATTTACTTTGCTAAATAACATTTGCATTGTTTTGTAGGCCTTAAATAAAGGTTGAAGACCATGGAGAATCAACCAAAGAAGCTTGGAGAGCCAAAGGAATCAAAGGAATCAAAGAAGAGTAGAAAATATGTGTTTTCCGGATTGGAGAAGATAGCTTTCGGATTAGAAATGCATTGAAAAATGGCTTCCAATTGAACTCTGCGCTTAGCCACTACCAGCCTAAGCTTAGTATCATCTTAGATACTCTTCTTTAGTGATCTTAGAAGCTTGCAAAGTCAAGATTTAGAGCTCTCTCTTCACCTATAAAAGAGGTGCATCTCCATGTAAAATCCAACTTTTATGAGATAATGAAATGCTGATAAGATTGCTCCAGTCATCCTCAAAGTTCAAACCTTCTAATGTTAATTTCACACCTCTTCCTCTAGCTTCCTTCTCCTTTGGAAGGCCTTCTGAGCATAAGAAACTTCACACTCACCAAACCTCCATTGAACCATTTCACAAACACTTGGCGTGCATCATAGATTCATCAAACCATTTCGCTGCCTTCTTCTAATTCGTGGAGTTGCTTCCATCAGTATGGCTCACCAATCCAATACAAATGAGGATACCGCCACTTAAACTGACTAAAAATAAGATTACAGAAGACATACCCTCAAAGAAGAGCACTCTCACAAATTGTCAAATATATGATAATTTTACTCAAAATATTCAACCATTCTACAAATTTAGAAGAGTTTGTAAAAAGGTATTTTAGAAAAAACACAAAGCTAAGGACTAAGAAGCAATTACATAAAAAATGCTTCTAAAAAATAAGTCATCTAAAAAAGGAGACTCCTTGCATGAGACTTGATATAGCTTGGTCGCTAAGCCTCTCATTTAGGCAACATTAACCTTCTAGAAGGGAAGGTCAACCTTACTTTCCAAGCTTCCTCCAAAAATGCGTCATCTATGTGTAGGTCCAAGGAAGAGTCTCTTTTAACTCCATGTAATGTTATTCTCCTTGAAAATGGTCGTAACTTATTCTACAAAATAAACTAGCAAGAAGATCAACAAGACAACTCAAGTTGAGTCAACAAAGTAAACTTGACTCATGTCAATAAAAAGAAAGTCAACACAAAACTAAAACCTTATAAAAAAGAGAAGATTTAGAAGCTTCCCTTCTAAACATGTTTATTCTCTTTAAACATGTGCCTTCATCCTTGACAGGGCTTGAAGGCTTATCATTTACCCTTCTCTTCTCTTTCTTACTATTTCTTATTCTCTATTTAACGATTTAAAACCGCTAGAATAATCCTCAGGACGAGCTCTTCAATTCTAATAAATTATTTTCTCAGTTTGAATAAATTGGTTTTCTTAGTTCTTCATTTATCAAATCTATGTTGCATCTCTTGGTCTACATGTGATATTAGATTTTAATACAAGTCTCTACAAATCAATTATAATATGTTTTTGTTGTTTTTACGTGTAAATAAAGTATTGTGTAAATAAAGTATTAAGTGATTCTTGAAGATGTTGGATTGTCTTAGAGCCATTTTAGTTGTTTTGTCAATTAAGGAAAACTGGTCTTGGTATGTAATTTTATGAGCTTTGCTTGATTGTGTTATTTGATTTCTAAGTTGAAATAATGGTATGAATGAATGAATTATAAGGCATTTCCAAGGAAGAAATTCCACTAAATGTGTGCATTGAGATGATGACTGTTTCATTATTTGAAATTATCTTAAACTTTATTAACCATTCATACTGATACAAAAGAATATGATTAAGTAAGATTTTCAAAAGAATACTGATGCATTGAGATGATGACTGTCATAAATGTTACACATTCTCATAAACACTATTTTATTTTTATTTTTCCATAATCTTTTCTAAATGCAATCACCATTTATTTGTTAAATATTGATTGAAAGTAAGATTTTAAATTATATTCAATGAAATATTTTTACACACAGAAGTACATGGGAATTGATATAATGTAAAGCTTAGCACAATCTGATTAGTTTGATATTATTATTTTCAGTAAGATATCACATTATTATTATTAATTTGAGATAAGTATTATTTTGTATTATTTGATATCAGGTTATCTAATATTATAGCATAATCTAATATTATAGCATAAGCCCAAAATTAAAAAATACATCTAACATTTCCCAGAGAATGCAAACTCACCAGCATACTGATTCTCTCTTACTCAAAAAAAATCCCAATTCTATTATTAATTTGAGCACTAGAGAATCTTTTACAAATAAATCTTCCTTCATCTTCAACCTTCAAGAGCACACGTCAAAAATTTCGAAGTCACTCAAATTATGTCTATTGTTCAAAGGTCCACATTCAAGATCCCTTGTAAACACATTAAATATTTTTTCTAACTGCTAAATTGGGTTTTTCCACTCCAACTCTAGAAAGGAACATTTGTTTTCCGTAAGTTCATATTAGCCATCAATGCCATAACAGAAGGTTTTTTAAAACAAATAACAAACAAGAAAAAAACAAAGAAAACAAGAAAACTTGAAAAAACCACACCAAATCCATAATAAAAATACATCGCAGGCATAAACAAAAAAACCTATGATGAAAGATTATGAAATCATACATAAATGAAAAAATAGTAAAAGTCCAAAAAAAAATTAAAGTTTAATAATCAAATTTCTCATCATATTAAACCCGTTCACAATCTCAGCCCACAAATAATCTTTAAAACTTACTATGGCTTTATACAAAATCTTGCTTTTGAAAATATTAGTATTAAACTTTTTTTTTTATCCTACCACAACTAGACTCCTAATAATTTGAAGGATTAAATATGTTTTTAGTCCCTCAACTATCAAGCGATTTTGTTTTTCGTCCCTATTTCAAACTTTTAAACGATTTGATTCCTCTCTCCTAATGAAATCATAATTTTTGGTCCTCACAACTAACCCGTTAAATTTAGTCTCACGTGGCTAACGGTATGCCACATATGATCCAGCTTGTTCACATTAATCTTGTGCCACGTGGTGTGCCACTATTCACCACCCTCTTCTCCTTCTCTCCTCTTCCACCCCCCTTCCCCTTCAACTTCGTCCTCACACAAGCCCGCCACCACCACCCCTCGCGCTAGCCGTCGTCGCCAACCGTGAATCACGTGCTGCTGCTGGTTGGGGAAGGCGACACCGGCGATGAATAGTGGAGCGTGCTTGCAATTGTTGCTGGTGTTAACTCTGTGGGAGATTTCGTTGGTCCTTCACCGAAGGGATTCGGGAATGCGTGTGGGAATTTCAGCTTCGGGGTGGTGATTTTGATTTCGGAGATTAGTGTTGTTGGTGTTTCTATTGGCGACGACGAGGGCGTGGATGGAAGTGGGTTTCTTGCTGACAATAGCGTACTTACTGTGTTCCTCCACGGTTTCGAAAGCGAGGTGGCCAACCAGCAAGGTCACCATCTTGTGCTGAGCAAAAGGTCCTGAACTTAGGGTAATTCGCAGCGAGCTCCGACACGGCTCGTTCGCGGCTATGGGAGGGAGCCCCCCGAGGTACTCACCGCCCCGCGTCCCAGCCGTAGACGCGGAGGAGCAGGAGACGTCGCCGACGGAGTTTTCAGGTGGGAGGAGACCTTGCGGAAGGCGGCGCTAGGGTTAGTGTAAACACGCATTCATGAGAGCGTTGCCCCGCGACACTTGAGGACCAGGGCAAGAGCCTTGTCGAGGACCTGTTCGTCTCTTCGATGATGCGGGCGCGTGGGACGCTCGTAGAGTTTCGGAACTTGGCCTACGGAGCAGCGAGGGGTTGGTGGTGGCGGGCTTTGTGTGAGGACGAAGTTGAAGGGGAAGGTGGTGGTGGAAGAGAGAGAGGAGAAGAGGGTGGTGATAGTGGCACAACCACGTGGCACAAGATTAATGTGAAAGCTGGTATCATATGTGGCATATCGTTAGCCACGTGAGACTAAATTTAACGCGTTAGTTGTGAGGACCAAACATTAATGTTCCTTAAGAGAGGGAAAATCGTTAAAAGTTTGAAATAGGGACGAAAAACAAAATCGCTTGATAGTTGAGGGACTAAAAACATATTTAACCCTAATTTGAATTGACTCTTCAAAAGAATTAGAATGTTTTACGTATACACGGATTGCATTAATTTTCATTTCGAAAACCTATATCAACAAAATAAGGCATTTTCTAGAAAATTCACTAAAAATTAATAAATACATAGAAATTAAAACATCACACCAATTGGAGCCAAGCACAAAGAAAATTAAAAGAACCTTTTGGATCCTGATGTTGAAGCTATCAATACATAAGATTAACAGCCCCCAAATACCTGCAAGGCAACAAAATGGAAACCCTTTGAATTAAAATAGCAACGTCATATATTAAGTTACCGCACATTTTCAAGAGAGGAAAGAGAGGGCAATGAAAAGCACAAATATAAACACCAGTAAACAATTAACATTTAAGCTTCCTACAGTTTTTGTTTAATTTTTCATTCGTGGTAAAATTTGAAATATTATTCCATCATTTAAAATTTATATAACATTTTGAAATAACTACTCTAGTCTCAAATGAGTTACTTTATAAGTTTTTTGTTTTTATATTAGTTTTCATTCCTCAAAAAATTGAAATTACTATTTTTGGCTCTTTAACCATTCATCTTAAAAAAAATAATATTATTTTAAGGAATTTCGATTCTTTTCAGAAATATTATATGAAAACATTATATCATTTATGGTCCACTCAACTTCTCTTCAAGTCATGAGCAGATAACAAAAGATTTTACTCGGACCAAAATACACTAAACAAATTTAAACCAAGAACTAATAATCTCTACCTAATAAGAATTGTTACTTACAGCATCCAATACATCGTCTGAGAGCTCAGGTTTACTTTTCTTCGCATCAGCAGCTATAGGCTTTGTTGAGGGAAATGACGAATCACTTTTGCCACTCCCGAGTCTTGTTCAATCTTCTGCTTCTGTGCAAGCAAAATGTAATTATGTCAGTATGAACTAATTCTTCATATAACATTACTTGTTGAAATTTGAAAAAACAAAATAAAATGAAAAGAATAGCTGAACGTGTCGTTTGACAATAACTTTCTGATTGCCAATTTGTGAGCAAATTATTTATGGAAAAAATTACGTTGAAGAATTTTTGTGGCTAGTAAAGATAATCCAGAAAAATTGTCTTCTATCAAGAGAAGAAATCATAGCTACTCATCATGTGATCTCATTTATTTTTAAGGAGCTTCAGTAATTCATATAAGAAACAAGTTGTACAATTAAGCCACATGCAATGGACCACAAAATAAAATGAAAAAGAAATAGCTGAACGTGTCTTTGAAATAACTTTCTGATTGCCATATTTGTGAAGCAAATTAATTTAAGGCCAGAAAATTATAGTTTGAAGAATCTTTGAGGCTTTATTAAAGAATCAGAAATCCGTGGGTGCTATAGTAATCATGTCACCACGTAGTAGGAATTTTTCCAAGTTTTAGTCTAATCAATAAGTGTAGAACCTCAACTTATTAAAACAGTAATTGAGTTCCTTGAAACATAGAAGTATACTATTTATATTGCAAGTCAAGCTGAAACAGCCTCTAACAGAGGTAGTTGCAAAAGGAAGGCAAACATCAAGAAATAAAGGAACAAGAGATGGGAGTGGATGAGAGTCAAGGCTCCCCCAAGCAAGAGAAACTCTCTGCTCAATTTTCCTATATCCTCCAAAAGATGCCTCCTCATCAGTACATCATTCTTTAACAAACAGCGAGAAATACACACATAGAGCGTCCACTACCTACTAGCAGCTGGAAATTCCCTTTCTATACTTCGAAGTACCTTTTACAAAAGCAAAAAACACAAATTATTAGTTAGGCTTGGGCTTGGGTCTTTATTAGTTTGAGGCAACTGTTTTCCTAACACAATGAACATTAAAACTGCCGTAGATTGCCAAAGCTACCAATGTTTAAATTTACTGTTCTCAAATCAAATTTATTTAACTTATCTGCAACTCTCATTGTTAGATTAGGTCCAAAATAGCCAGACTTTCAAATCCTCACCAGAAAGGCGGTCCAAAAACCGTAGCCAAAAATGGGTATCAGCTACATTGACTGTTGTGATCGAATGGAGATACAATAGATACACCTTACTGCCATTTAGAGAAGCAATTTTCATGCACTTACATTTACAAATTATATAAGAAAGGACTTCTATTTCCATAACTCAACAGTAATTTATTTTTAGGACAATCATGTTAGATGAATAGAAAACAGTAAAACAAGCTATCTCATGTCTGCCAGAATTGCCACTCTCACTCTGATATGAAAGCCAAAATAAGACCAGTAAAGAACTCAAGAAAGCAGGGATGACTGAGCTTTTACTAGGTTTTATGGTTGAAAAATAATTTCTCTTGTTAAACGTTGAGAATTGATAATGCTAGCTATTTCAGAATTCCTCGAAGGTTAAAACTGTAGCAAGAAGTTTTAATTCAAAGGTAAGCCAAAAGTATAACAAGCAAGATATTTCAAATTAGAAAACTACATCTAAATAGAAAGCTTCATTTTTCCCGCTTTCATGCTCATAAATGGAGAACTTTTTTTAAGTATTATGAAAATTGCTCTATTTGCAGATCACCCCCACATATAAGCTTACAACTCAAACAATAACAACAAGAAAACTAACTATCGTTTTAGGTATTTCCTTAATGAAATGGATCTTTCCCTATGTACTTATATGATAATCACCCATACCAGAAAAAAAAATAAGCCACAAAGTCAAGGTACCAACCACAAAAAATTAAGAAAATGTATCACAATAGATTTACCGCCCATTTCTCGTTTATTGGGGTTGGCTTTCATACAACCAAATAAACTATTAATCAAAATAAGGTTTCTTGTCTGAAATTCAATGCCTGAAGTACATTCCTCCAATGTTTAAACCAAAGGTAATGATGGCATGGTACACCAAATTTACTTTTTAAGTCTTTGAAATATGTAGACATAATAGCATACCTTCTTTAGCCGCTCCTCTATAGCATTCAAAGCACGTGACTGATCAACTCTCGATAGATAGAAATCCCTCTCTCTCTTGGCAGCAGAAAGTTCTACAGCCAGCTTTTGCTCCCGAATAGCTTTCTTAAATGCTGTAAGATATACATTGTTTCAGCACAAACAGCTTAAGCTCCACCACTAAAACAAGAAACCACTGATCATAAAGCGCTCACCTAGTTCTTCAGTCAGATCATCCCACTTGAACTTACTTAAGTACTTAATATTCCAAAGGTCATAGTAGAATGATGACCTCTTTCTCCCCCCTTGAAGACAAAGAATACAAATCAAAAACTTGAAAACCAAATTCATACAGACAGACACAAGTTAAAGAAAAATATCCTGCTACAGTAAGCATACTGCACTATGAAACATCACTAAACTTAAAGAATAAACCAATTCTAGGGTTTATAAAACAATATTACTATTCTCATCAAAAAGACTGAAGAAGCAAGAACAATTGGTATATACAATACTGCAACTACAAATAAACACCATATCAATTTTTCAAAAAATTCCATACAGATGTATAATAGTTCCAAAGCTGAAAATTAAGACCTAACTAATATTCTAGAATCGTTAACATAAAAATTTTCATTTAAGAATGAATACCAGAGAGAGAGGGGCAGGTGTCTGACAGTGACAAGATTCAAACACTACCATTTTCACCATTTAACATATTGGGGCAACCCTCTTAGCAACCCTTTTTATAAATCACCGATTCAACCCATCACACGCAGAGGAAAACACCAATGATCATATTCAAATCTCAACAACAGAAAAGTCAGCAAACATTGGAACAACTTCAATCAGATACCAATCCTATTCCAAAATAAAACATAAATAAATACCCTTCTGAATATTCTTGGTCTCGAGATCCACGGGACCGCTTAGAAGGCACTTGGGTAGCAGAACCTGAAAAATCAAATAATAACAAAGTCTCCAGTCACAACAAAATTCAAAATAAATAAATAATATACACCTACTAGAATTTCATTAGAATGCCCCGATGTTTAAGGTGATTTCCAATGACTAACTTCTTATAGCTAGACATTTGGTTACTATGCTTTTCTGGCATCCAAACCATAAAAATGTTACCGCTCTTATTATTATGCAAAATTTACCTTCTATGTTTTTTTCTTGATAATTTTTTACCACCATAATTTTAAATTTTCACGCATGTGTAACAAAACGCTAATGGAAAAATGCATGAAACTTAGCTGGTAAAATTCACGAACGATGATTGTTGAACGGTATAACGTACCTAAGCTAATAAAGTAGTAATTGAAAAAAAAAAAAAAAGAGTCTAAAGAAACATCCGGAAAATTTTAGTGAGACCTTGGGGAGAGACGAAAATTCGTTTGATATCACCGAACTGAGAGGAATGTGGCGAAGCTTTACGTGGTCCCTGGTGAGGAGGGATTCGCTCAGGAATGCAACACCCCCGCTTCTCCGCGCCCTTCGACGCCACTCTCTTCTTCTTTGTTTTCTTCACTTTCGCGTTTTCGCCGTTGGATGTAATTTCTGTTGCGTCAATCTCAGCGACCTCTTTTTCTTCCTCCGAAGAATTCATCGTTTTCTAGTGTATGTAGAAACACCTTCTTCTCGTTCAAGCTGATTAACAAAACACACGAATTTTTTTTCTCACACTAGAATTTTGCTGATTAACAAAGCACGAATTTTGGTGACATTTGGTTTTACTGACCTCACTCTGCCGCGCCGCACGATGCCAACAAAAAGAAGCACCACTTACTTCTTCACTAACTTCGACCAATTAACGCGCAAGGCGTTGCGGCTACTACTAATGCAGGGCAGGCCGTTGCGGCTTCCACCAAAGGAGGTGCAGGGCGTTGCAGGCTTCCGGCAACGGAGGTGCGGCCTTCCGGCAATGGAGGTGCACAATCTCTAGTTAGGTGCGGGGCTGATGTTTGAAACAAGGGGAAATATTAGGGTTAATATTTTTTTAATGAAAGATAATTTTCAAAGGGCTACAGGGAGCAGGAAGAAGGACCCTGGCGCTGATGTGTGAAAAAAAAGGGAAATATTAGGGTTTTTATTAATTTTTAATGAAAGATCATTTCGATAGGGCTATGGGGTGCAGGAAGCAAGACCCAGGAAAGGTATCTGCTCTTTTTGGGCGGAGGTTGAGGCCCGTGGAGAATAAAAGGGCTGGGCTGTATTTCTTTTACCACTTCATATATGAAACCTATAAAATTAATTGTTGCACCCATGTACAATTTTTATTTTTATTTTTATTTTTAGCTTTTCTGAACGGTAGAATTCAAGCCATTTTCTTCTTTAAAAGAAACTTTCGAATTCCAAAATTTGTATAATTACAAGTTAAAATTGTTTCCATGTTGAATGTTTTTCAAAGTCAATTTTCACTTCTAGATATGTGTAATGTGAAAGTTAAAATTGACCAGCATATTTTATAATTTAAAAATAATTTTAACTATAAATTACGCAATGTACAAATAACAAAAACAACTCACAAAATATTTAAAATAAAAATTTTTTTAAATAAAAAAAAAATTAAAATTTACTTCCCCTTTTCCCCCCCCTCCATTTCCCTCCCCCCCCCCCCCCTTTCTTCCCTTCCTCCCCCTCTCCCCCCCCCCTTTCCCCCCTCTTTCCCCCCCCCCCCCCCCCCCCCTTTCCCCCCCCCCCCCCCCCCCCTTTTTCTTTCCCCCCGTTTTTTCCCCCCCCCCCCCCCCCCCCCCCCTCCCTTTCCTCTCTTTCCCCTCCCCCTTTTCCTCCTTTCCCCCTCCTTTCCCCCCTTTCCACTCCCATTCCCTTCCCCCCCCTTCCCCTTTCCCCTTCTCCCCCCCTTTCCCCTCCCCCCCGCCTCCTTTTTTTTCCCCTCCCCTCCCCCACCCTTCCCCTCCCCCCCCCCTCCTTTCCCCCTTTCCTCTTTTTTTTTCAACCTTTTTTTTTTTTTTCCCTACCCACTTTTTTTCTTCCCCCCCCTTTTTTTTTCCTTTTTTTTCCTTTTTTACCTCCTTCCCCCCCCCCCCCCCCCTTTCGTTTCTTTTTTTACCCCTTTTTTTACCCACTTCCCTTTTCCCCCTTTTTTTCCCCCTCCCCTTCACCTCCCCCCCCCCCCCCGCTTTTTTCACCCCCCCCCCTTCTTCTTCCCCCCCCTTTTACCTCCCCCCCCCCCCTCCCCTTTTTTTTCCCCCTTCTTCCCCCTTTTTCCCTCCCCCCCCCTTTCACCCCTCTTCTTTTCCCTACTCCCTCCCCCCCCTTCCTTTGTTTTTACTCTCCCACCCTCTTTTTACCCCTTCAACCTCACTTTCCCCCTTTTTCCCACTTTTCCCCCTTTTCCCCACCCCACCCCTCCCCCCCACCCCCCCCCACCCTTTCTCCCCTCTCCCTTTCCCCCACCCCCCACCTTTTTTTTCTTCCCCTTTCCCCCTTGTCCCCTCCCTTTTCCCCCTTCCCCCTCCCTCCCCTTTGTTCCTCCCTCCCCCCCTTTCCACCCCCCTTCTGCCCCTTTCCCCCCCCCACCCCCCTTTTTTTCTTTTTTTTTCTGTTTTTCCCCCCCCCCCCCTTTTTTCCTTTTGGCCCCCCACCCCCCCCCTTTCCCTCCCCCCCCCCCCCACTTTTTTCCCCCCCCCCCCTTTTTCTCCCTTTTTTTTCCCCCCCCCCTTTCCCCCCCTTCCTTTTCCCCCCCTCCTCCCCCCCCCCCCCCCCCCTTTTCCCACCTCTCCCCCCCTTCCCTTTTTTTTTTTCCCCCCCTTTTCACCCACCCCCCCCCCTTGTTTTCTCCTTTTTCCTTTCACCCCCTCCATTTTCAACTTTTCCCCTTCCTTACTCCCCCCACCTTATTTATTTTTTTCTTTTTTTCCCCCCCCCCCCTTTCCCCCAATCCTCCCTTTCCAACTTTCCTTCCCCACCAACCTCAACACACCACATCCCCTTTATTCATTTTTTCTTTTCCTCCCCCCATATTTCCCCCCCCTTTTTCAACCCCCCTACCCTCCCTTTTTTTTTTTTCCTCCCCCCTCCCCCCCCCCCTTCCTTTTTTTCTTTTGTTTTACCCCCCCCCCCTTCCTTTTTTTTTTTTTCCCTTTCTCCCCCCCCCCTTTCTCTTCCCCCCCCTTGCCCCCTTGGTTCCACCTCTCCGTTTCCCCTCCCTGTCCCGAAAGGTGAGATCATAACAGGCAGCGTGATGGCGCACAGGTTGGTATTCTGAAAAGCGGAGCGCAAAGAAAAGAAGGTAGAAGAGGGTAAACTACGTGGGAAAGCGGACGGCTAGACAAGAAGGAGGTGGAGAGAGAAAACACACATAGGGGGAGGAACACAAGAAAATAACGAGAATAGTCCATAGACTAACAAACCACCAACATCAAAAAAGAAAATGATTAAGAAGTATAAGTATCTTTCAATACCAAAATGTTATTTAATTTTTTTCAATTATATAAATGTCCCTTTTGTTTTAAGTTTGTACTTTAGAAGATAGTAAATTGAAAATAATACCTCTGAAATTTAATATATAAGAAAACTGTCTTTTCTTTATTAATTAAAAGTAATAGTCAGGTTTATTTGTGGTCTTGTTTTTATATAATAAAGAAATATTTTTACTAATTTTTTTCTTATGTTTAAATATTACTGTCTTTTCTTATTAATTAAAAATAATAGTCAGGTTTTTATTTGTGGTCTTGTTTTTATATAATAAAGAAATATTTTTACTAATTTTTTTCTTATGTTTAAATATGGAATGATAATATAATTTTAAGCAGCCTGACAAAGTCAATGCCGCAAAAGCTTATAGTAATTTTTTAAATCATGGAAGGTAATGAAAATGTTTATTTTCAGTTTAAGACTAGGAATAATATTTTTATAAAAGTAAACAAATTTAATCAAAATAGAGAATAAATTAGTATTTAAGTTTATCCTTACATTCTCTTTGAATTTCAACGTTAAATAATAAAGATCGAAAAAAAACAAATAAGAGATGTGAACCCTAATTAAAGGGAAAAAAACATTTTTGAATCACTGATTAATTTCTTTCCTTCAAACAAAATCATTTGAATATGAATTGATCTAATTTCAAATTATTTTTTTTATTGTTTAGATACTTAAAAATAATTCTTCACGGCTTAATTGATCCCTCTCACAATCTTCTATTTATAAGAATAAATTGAACAACAATACATGATAAATAGGGTACCCCATAGACACAACATAATTCATGACAAATAGGGTAATTCTAGAACACAATATACATCATAAATGGGTAACTCTTGACACACTATAATGATGAAAATAGGATAATATCTAACATTCCCCCTCAGCTAGAGCATACAAATTGATGTAACCAAGCTTGGAACAAATACACTCAATCCGAGGCCCCTTAATGACTTGGTCAATACATCTGCGAGTTGATCGTTTGACCTAATCAAACTCAGTACATATTTCGTTGGGTCAACACTTTTCACGAACAATGACAATCAATTTCTATATGTTTAGTCCCTCCTCTCGTGAACACTAGAATCTGATCAATGTGGAGAGCAGCTTGATTGTCCGCAATCAATCTTCTAGTATGGATGTCACAAAATTTAACCTCTTTGAAGGAATTGTTTCAACCAATAAGTTCACATGTTAATGATGCCCATGTCCTATACTCGCTTCCTCGTTGCTTCGAGCTACTACATTATGTTTTCTTACTTTTCCATGAATAATGTTCCTCCCAGAAAAACACAATAATCCTGTTGTAGACAGACCGTCTATCAATAGGTGAAACCTACCCCATCTCCCTCACATCCCCGGAACATGAATCTTTCCTTTAATCTTCTATAACATCCTTGCCGGGAGCCTTCTTTACATACCTTAGAATCAAATGAGAGCCTTCCAATGGTCAACCACATGGAGCCTGCATGAACTGACTACCCTTCCACTGCAAGGATAATCTGCTTGTAATAGTGAGATAAATCATTTTTGCCAACCAGCCTCCTATCCTCTCTGATCGGAGATAATTCACCTTCTTCGTCCTTAATTTGGTTTGGGTTCCTGGGACTGTCTACCGGTCTACAATCATTAGGCTTGTTTCTTGTACTATATCAAGAGCATCACTTTCTTTGGAGATTACACAAACTCCATCTTTTTATTGGCGCTACTTCAATGGCCTAAGAAGTCTTTGAGAATTCCAACGATCTTTTGGTTTTGAAAATGTCTACACAAGTTACTCTTTTTAGTTGAGATATTCAAAGCATCATTTCGGTAATGACATATCAGCAACATATACTATTAAGAAACACATTTTCCCGAGAGAAGAATGACAATAAAAAACTGAATGGTCTGCTTCCTGCGTTTTTAAGCCCAATTTTTGACATGTAGCTCACTTTCCAACCAAGCCACGTGGGGATTGCTGAGGCATATGAGATCGATGCAATTTCATACCATACCAGACTCCCCCTGAGCAGACAAACCTAGGAAGGTTGCTCCATATAACTTCTTCCTCAAGATACCATGTAGGAAGACTTCTTGATATCCATTGATGAGTGGCCAGTGACGATGGTCTGCATGGCAAAAGAAGAGACGAATAGTAGTCTCTTGGGCTACAGGAGAGAAAGTGTCACAATAACAAGACCATAAACATGATGTACCTTTTGCAACAGTCGACGCTTTGACCGATCAATTTCACCATCAGGCCAACTTTAACCTGCAATACACTCAGTCGACACCCAACCGCCTTTTTTTTCCCTGGGGGAAGGGGCACAAGCTCCCAATATTACTGTGGTCAAAGCCTGCATTTCTGGCAATCATAGCTTGTCGCCATCCAGGATGATCAGTGCTTCTTTCACATGGGCTTGGGTATAACAACAGAGGACACTGAGATAAAAGAGAAATATAGGAGGGCGACAATCGATGATAGCTTGAAAATTATAACTGGGATGAGGGTTCCGAGTGGAACGAGTACCTTTTCTGAGGGCAATAGAAGGCCATGCTGAATCATTTTGCACCAGGAGGCGTGGGAGAGATGACGAGGAGAAGAATCTGAGTAGGAGATTCA